ACTCCAAAGCAACATTTCATTAGATTGCTCTGGTTTTTCCCCTTAATTAGGATGTTACTATGGTTTATATTACTGTAATACCCAGAGGCACCCACCAGGGTATGCACTCCAAACCATCACTGTACAAATGTTGTCCCTAAATAAGGGTTCTTCACCCAATGTGTGAGAGCCAATCAACACACTAAGTTGAGATACTGTTTTTATTTCAATTCCGCAGAATTGGGTGCCAGGCATTTAAAAACAGCCAGCACAGCATATGTTCCCAACTGCCCAATATTTATAATGATAAAATATAGCTGATTGGTTAATAATGATTCACTCACCACTCCTAATTATACATATGCATCTTAGCTCATGTTTAAAACATTTAGGGAAGTTACCTGATCAGTATGCTTGTTATTCATAGAAGGGTGTGTATTTTAGTGTTATAATTACCCAAGGTTAGTTTGGGTTACAATTTTGGTTCAACTTTGGGCCAGAAGTTATATTTTTCACTGTTTTATGTCAAAGTCAGCAACTGCAAAAGAACACATAAGACACATTGTTTCATTTCACATGCTATTCAAGGTTAGGTACCTTCTTTGATGTCTCAACCATGTCCCAATGGAAAGTTCTTGGAAAACTTTTAACATCACACTTCTGATATCATGAACATCCCAGCAGAAACAAATGAAGTCCCCAAGGGCACCATTAAAACAGAAAGGGCAGAGAAAAGGCAGAGAGGCAAGGAAAGCACAGAAACCAAGTCACCTCCCAAAGGAGACAAAGCTGCTCAGTGACGAAAGAACTACCTGTGGGCCCAGTTCTTCCTTGTCATGGATTTTCTGTTTAAATTTGCAGCCGTGCATTTATACTCCCTCATTATTGCTCTGGCACTTTTCTTCTTTTGGTAAGATCATTGTAAAACATGTGACGCACTTAACAGCCTTTTCAACTTGGGCACCCCAGAATTCCTGGAATCATAGAACAGTCAGAGTTGGAAGGGACTTAAAGATCACCTAGTTCCAACCCCCTGTCAGAGACAGGGAAACCTTGCACTAGACCAGGTTATTCAAAGCCCCATCCAGCCTGGTCTTGAACACTTCCAGGCATGAAGTGTTCCAGCTTCTCTGGCCAACCTGTTCCAGTGTCTCACCACCCTCACCGTAAAGAATTTCTTCCTAATACCTAATCAAAATCTCCCTTTTTTTCAGTTTAAAACCACTACCCCTTGTCTTATCACTACACTTCCTGATAAAGAGTCTGTCCCCATTTCTATAGTAGGCCCCCTTTATGTACTGGAAGGCTACTATGAGGTCTCTTGGGAGCCTCCTCTTCTCCAGGCTGAGCAACCCCAACTCTCTCAGCCTGTCCTCACAAGAGAGGTGCTCCAGCCCTCTGATCATCTTCATGGCCCTCCAGCAGGTCCATGTCCTTCTTGAGCAAAGGTCTCCAGCCCTGGATGCAGTACTGCAGGTGGGGTCTCACCAAAGCAGAGTAGAGGAACAGAACCACCTCCCTTGACCTGCTGGCCATGCTTCTTTTGATGCAGCCCAGGATACAGTTGGCCTTCTGGGCCACAAGCACAAATTACTGCTCATGTTGAGCTTCTCATCCAACAACACCCCCAAGTCCTTCTACCAGGGCTGAATCCATTCTCCACACAGTCTGTAATTGTGCTTGGGATTGGCATGACCCCTGTACAGGACCTTGCACTTGAGATTCACATGGTCCCACCTCTCGAGCCTGTCCAGGTCGCTCTGGATGGCATTCCTTCCCTCCAACGTCTCAACTGTGCCGCACAGCTTGGTGTCATTGGCAAACTTGCTGAGAGTGCACTCAGGAGTGCCAGCTCTCCTGTTTCCTTCTGGACACATTTTCCCTAGTCTTCCTTTTATAACTGACCCATAGAAGCTTTTCTTATTGCCCTTGATGCCTCTGACCATATTTAACTCTATCTCGGCTTTAGCCTTTCCACCTGATTCCTGGCTGCTCAGAAAATTTCTTTGTGTTCTCCCTCGTCTACCTGTCCTTGCTTCAACCCTCTGTAGGCTACTTTGTTGAGTCTGAGTTTGTCCAGGAGCTCCTTGCTCATCCATGCAGGCCTCCTGGTGGTTTCGCCTGGCTTCCTTTTTGTTGGGCTGCATTGCTCCTGAGCTTGGAGGAGGTGATCCCTGAATATTAACCAGCTTTCTTGGGTCCTTCTCTCCAGGGATTTATCCCACAGTACTCTACCAAGCACATCCCTGAAAAAGGCCAAAGTCTGCGCTCCTAAAGTCCAGGGGAGGGAACTTGCTGGGTGCCCTTCTCGCTGCCCTAAGGATCTTCAATTCCACCATCTCATGGTCACTGCAGCCAATGCTGCCCTTGAGCTTCACATTTCCCACTAGCCAGCCCCTCCTTGTTGGTGACAACAAGGTCCAGCATAGCACCTCTTCTCTTTGGCTCTTCTATCACTTGGAGAAGGAAGTTACCATCAACGCATTCCAGGAACCTCCTGGATTGCTTATGCCCTTCTGTGTTCTCCCTCCAATAGATATCGGGGTGGTTGAAGTGCCCCATGAGGGCCAGAGCTTGTGAACATGAGGCTGCCCCTATCTGTCTCTAGAGGATCTCAGCCACTCAGTCTTCCTGGTCAGACGGCCCGTAGCAGACCTCCACTGCAACACCACCTCTCCCTGCCCTCCCTTTAAGCTTGACCCAGAAGCTCTCAGTCAGCTCCCCATCCACCTGCAAGTGCAGCTCCATGCACTCCAGCTGGTCACCAACATGGAAGACAACACCTCCTCCCAGTCTCCCCTGCCTGTCCTTCCTGAAGAGTCTCTATCCTTCCGTTCCAACGCTCCAGTCATAGGAGCCATCCCAACATGTTTTCTGGGATGCCAGTAAGATCACAGCCTTGCCAGCGTGCACACATCTCTAATTCCTAGTTTATTCTCCATGCTACCTGCCTTTGCACAGAGACATTTACGTTGGGCCCCCAGTAAAGCTGACTTACTGGCTGGGATTCCTTTGTGCTGCGCTCCAGCTGCTCTCCTGCTCCCCTGTGATCCTTCTCCAGGCTCTGGGCACTGGCATCATACTGGGAGGAGTGGGATGGATTGACCTTCCCCTCTGCCAGCAGCTGTAGTTTAAAGCTCTCTTCACCAGCTTGGCAAGCCTTAGGCCAAAGATGCTCTTCCCCTTCTCTGACAAGTCGACTCCATCAGGCCCCAGTAGACCTTCTTCCTCAAAGTCAATCCCATGGTCTAAGGAGTCAGACCCCTGGCTGTGGCACCAGTCCTGTAGCCATTTGTCAATTTGCCAATTTTGATTTGCTCTATCAGCCCCCTTCCCTTGACCAGGAGGACTGAGGAAAAAACTACCTGCACTCCAGAGTCCCTGACTGCTGCTCCTAGGAGTCTGTAATCCTTCTCAATACTCCTCAGACTGATCTGGTGGTATCACTAGTGCCCACTGTGAAACAACAGCAAGTAGATAACAGCCAGAGGACTGTACAAGGCTTCATAGTCTCTCACTGACATCCCTGGTATGAGCCCTAAGAAGCAGGACTCCTCTCTAGAGAGTGCATCAGGTCAACAAATGGGTGGCATCTGTACCTTTCAGAAGAGGGTCACTTACAACTATCACCCATCACCTTTTCTTAGTTGCTCTGGCTGTTATACAGGGTTGCTTTACTCAGCTCCAGTGCCTCCATTGACTGATGCAATGCGTCTTTCCTCCTCACTCTGGAGAGCTGTAAAGCTCTTCTGCAAGAGTACCTCGGGCTTTGGGGGAAGTCTCTTCCTTCTGCTGGTCCTTCCTGTTGCAAACTTCCATTCTTCCATGTTACTGGCCCCCCTCCCTCCTATGTGTACCTTTAATTAAAGACCTTAACCCTTTCCACAACATATGGAATGATTTCCCACCTTCCTGTATATACAGCAGGCATATGCAAGGCCCTTTCTACACATGTGCTCTGCCTGCCTTTAACCCTCCCCTCTCTAAAGCATCTCAGCATGCCCCAGACTACAAACCTGTAACACCAGCTTGGCTGCTTTTCCTAATAACTGTCTTCAGCTCAGCTACCTTGTCATACTGACCAACATCCCTTACATGTTGGTCATCCCTCAAATCTCCTGCCTTCTCCAATTGCAGGCACTGGTTACAACTGGCTGTTTCAAAGCCTCCTCTAACTCCAGCTTTTACAGAGACCCGATTCCTCGGCCTTTCCCTGTCAGAAAGTTCAACTCTAAAATGTTGCCGTTCTGTGAGTTTCCAGAGGGTAGGAGGCACAGCTCCACGTGCCCACAGCACCGTAGCACCCACAGTGCCAGGGGCCTGCTCTTTGCAGCTCCTGTGACTTCCCAGCTCGGCTGCCCTTGCAGCATCTCCCCCACCTTCCCGCAGCGTCACCCCGCCGCCGCGGGACTCACGGCCTGGCGCCTGCAAACCCCGACACTGCTGTCAGGCCGGGTGCTGACGGGAAACACGCTACTGCTGGCATGAACAACGCCTCCCTTACGATCCTGGTGCCTCAGATCCCAGCCTGTGGTGGTGAAAACCAAGCAGGGAACACAGCGGAGCAGCCAGCAGCCGCCCCGGTTCGGGCATAAGCGCCACCGCCAGAAAGCACGGGCAAGGGCGGCGACCACCTGCCGGGACACAAGGCCGCAGACCCTGCTGCCTCCACCGTTTTTCCTCAGGGCGCGGTGGAAGGGGAAGAGCGAAGCGGGGCAGCGCCCGGGGCCCGCCTCCTCCTCCGGAACGTGTCTGGCCGTTAATTAGCACACCGGGGGACAAAAGCTCCTGCGGGCGCTTCCGGTACCGCTCGGGGGGGCGGGGGGCGGGGCGGCCCGGCCCGGCCCGGCCCGGCTCGGCCCGGCTCGGCCGCCCGGAGGAACCGGGACTTGCGGGGTGGATTTGGGGGGGAAGATGCGGGGGCCTGCCCCGCCG